CAAATTAAATAATACTCATATAACTATAGATATCGATGTAAGTTAGTAAAGAAAAATGTTTAATGAGAATAATTACCGATTTTTATCTTCTTTCGTATCTGCGATCCAGTTAAAAAAAATTCATTCGCGGGCCATAATTTGGGGTGATCCCTCGGTATGTGGTAACAATCCGCTAGGGACCGCGGTTTTATTTTTCAGTTACGACCTCATATCGTATTTCGTCGTGACCGCAACGTCGAAACTTTCTTCCGGGGAATTTATACTGAACGGAAACTAATAATTAACTGTCACGAACGATATTCCACCACGATCGATTTCGTCAAAAGTGACATAAGCTGTACATTATATATTATAAATAAATATAACTGAACTATACGAAGTGTACGTTATATATTTTGTTATAAGAAAATCATATACTCGTATTATATCGCAGACATGTAGTCAAATCATTTTGCAATAAATGTAGAGGCGAAAATTCAAGGAATTTATTTTTTACCGTCTACCTCAGCTTATTTTAGTTTAATTTTCAGTCATTTAACTAAATGTGAGATTTGTAAATCATTATATAAATAAAAAAAAAAATAGAACACTATAATATTTTAAACTATTTTTTACTTTTGCCAAATTTCAAAACTTTATTATTTTTTGCAAGCTAACACCAATTTTACACCCTCACTGACTAAACACTATATATATAATATTAGATTTTCTTATGATCGGCGTTTTATAAAAATAATGGTTTCGTACAACAAAACGTGTATCTTTTTAAAGATTAACACCCCTATAGACGTATAATTCTTACGGTGTTAGACTATGATTATTTTATATTATTTTATACGTGAATTCATATTGAAATCAGACCAACAACGTTCGGATACGTGCGGTGATAATAAGGAAATATAATAATAGTTTCTGATTGTAACATGTATTCGGTTCGTAAGGTTAACCGAATGGTGAACATGTGGTATTGGAATTAAATCTTCTCATTAACCTAGGCTAACCTATTGGTATTAAGTAAAATTCCCGATTCGTACAATACACACGTCGTATACGAATACCGACAGTACGTCTGCTGTGAGAACACGACGTGTTACGCGTATCCATATTCGTCGCCGAGAAGTTCGAGTCGTTTTCCCCCTCGCCTGGATACGGTTCGTCGGGTAGACGCGTGCCCAGAATCCGCAGCGGTGGCGGTCATCGATGTGGACCGAAAAAAATGGGAAAAAAGAAAGAAATAAAATAAATTTAAAGAAACACGACGTCGCGGACCGTGTCGCACCTGCTGCTGAGACGACGACAGGTGCTCCTCGCGCGCGCGCATTTTCTCCTCGCTAATCAAATCCGTTGAACAACAATAATAATAATATTGAAATAAAAACAACAGTGCTATACAATTTAAACAACATAGATGTGTATTCAATCGTGAATATTAAAAATAAAACTCCAAAAACATTTATACTATAACAATATATCATTTATTTTATGATTATCGTTACTTCGGACGGGTGAAATAAACTGCTTACTTTTATTTAATTTCAATCCGTATTACACACACACACACATACACATAAAGGTAACTGTAATAACATGTAGTGGTGTATAAGCACATTCGACGAAATTACGTGGAGTATTATTTAACCGATTTATTTGAAAAATAATAATTATAATTATTTTCTTTCGATACCTACTTGAGTAATAATTATTACTCTTTTGTAATTTGTTAATTTCGACCAAAAATTTTAGACTGACGTCTCATGTTGTCGTACGTAGATAATAATATTGTATAACGTTTGTAATTCATAGCAAAAAGTTAAATAAACCACAAAAAAAAAACGTACAGCAACTATATACGAGTAAGATGCGACAATTGAATTACGCGGCTTTGTTCTGAGAACATTTTACTATTTAACATTTATTTTTATTTATTTATACTATAGTATTTTTCATTTACCCCAATCGGTAATTATTAAAATCAATATATTAAGCAGAGTAAATATTTCTTTAGTAACCAATGAAAATACTTATATATCCAACCCAAAACTTTTTGGATCCTTGTAAATGCGATTTTCGCAAGTTCTAGTCTTATTTTTTTATTGGTGGCAATCGATGAACGAATGATATTTGAATTGTATGTACATAGATGTATTATAATAATGCAGTATTTACTAGTTCTATTACGATTGTTAAGTTATCATTGTGGGCGTCGTATATCCGTAGACACACTTACGGTCGAAAAAAACAATACATTCTCATTGCTCGTGTATGACTATATAGGATATATAGTCTATATATATAGACTAAATAGGACGATTTTTTTGTCTACGTAAAACCCTTGATTTCTCGATTAATTTTATAAATTTCACCATTTTATATGGTGATTTATTACAGTTTTTTTTTTCTTGAACAACATACATTTTGCTTACTATTCTGAGTGGAAATAACATCATAAGAATGTGGACGTGAAACTTCAAATGGTTATTTTATATTTAATTAAACGGAGTAGAGCACGTCAAGTGCAATGCCGGTAAAGAGCATAGTAAAATATTGTTCACAATTACAATTTTAAGCATTCGAATGTCACATAGAAGACGTGTGATAAATTAACCGATCGATAAAAAAAAAGCCCCAAAAAATTAGCTTGTAAATCGCGTTATAAAATTTAGATTTGAAGAAAAAAAAACACTAATGTTTACACGAATCGTCTTTTATGAACTTTGCACAAACACTCCGTGATCGCACCCCACAATACGATTTATCTGGATTACGTGTATTTCCTAGAAACCAAAGAAAAAAAGAAAAACGCAGTAGGTTCCAAAGGGACCGAAAAGGTCAAACTGGACAATCTATTGGATCCGGCATGTAATAACATTATAACGACGCGTCGAGTGCAATTTTTTAACAAACGGTTTCGGAAGGTCTTTTATTCTTTATTTATTTTTTTTCACGGGTGTCCATTCAATCGGGTTGATTTTCGCGCGTTTCCAGGCGATTGGAAACGATGACAAATTCTGCACGTTGGAACTATATCAGGACTATTAAAATATATATATATATGTCATCGTTCACTGGATGAAATTGTTCATTTCATGAATAGTTATGCATTTCATAAAATAGAAACCATTTTTTTTCCACTTCGTGAAATACAATAAAATTTCATTAATTGCATAACTTTTCACGAAATGGATTCTACAATTTCACATCGCGTAATATTTTTCATCTATCAGCTAACTAACTACGTCGTGAATCAAAAACAATAAAATGTTAATTTTTTTTCGGAAAATCACTTGAAACGACCTATATTTTTAATTTTAATCAAATTATTGGCAAAAACTAAATAGAATGTTTACAAATTAATATTTTTAAAAAAATATTTATTTGAACATTGAATTAAACTATAACAACGGTTTATCACATTTTAACCCGATTTACAACCTGCACAACGGTTAGTAATACATTTTATTATACATGCATGACTAAAGTATCCTTGACACCCCGATATAGCAGCAACCGTTTCATGAAATTATTTCCTTATTTTGTTTTACTTGATCAACAGTTATAAGATTTGATGTAACCATCTGCAAATTACTAGATCCAAACTATCCTTTTTATAATTCATGTTCAGTTTCAATCTTGTTCATTTAATTTTTTTGGTTCAAAATAACAGTGATTTTATTTACAGGATTTGAAGATCCTTTATCAATTTTTGGTACTGGAATTATCACAGTATCGTTTATCTCAGTCTTATTAACTCATTTTTTATGACATCAATTTCGGTTAAACCAGTCGTTTTTTTCAGAGCTCTCTACAAGCCGACGCACATCGACTTATACCTCCCTTCGAATGGGTTTTTACTTTATTAGATCTCGTTTTTGTTTTAAGGCCAAGTGATAAACCGTCGAAGAATGATCACTAGTCCATTTCTGGATGGCTGTATTAGCATAACTGTGGCGTATTTATTATGTAAATACGGGTATAATATAACCCGTTCCGGTTGCAATTATACTAGAGCCGGAAGATGAAATTTTCAAATTCTAACCCCTTAACATTATGTATACAATAGTACAGTAATTTTAAATTATATTAATAAACAAAAATAAAATTAATAAATAAATTTGAAAAAATCCTGAAATTGTCGCAAGAATAAGATCGAACTCGTATCAAAAGTTATTTACATACTGATGCACTCAAAGTTGTATCTAGGCCCAAATTTCAAATCAAGGTGCATACTTCTCAGCTGATCTTAAATAATGTGTTGTATACATAGTATAAGTACGCAGTATGATTAAATAGTTCCCGGAATTGTATTTTATTATATTTATACAATTTAAACTTAAATTAACTTAATCTCTTTCAAAATATTGTCCTTAAGAACTGATGCATTTACTCTAACGAATTTGTAACTGCTCGAAACATCCCTCTATTGGTATTACCTTAAGATCAGTCGTCACATTAGCTTTGAGAACTCTAGTCGTCACATAATGTCACCTTTGAGTTCAAGTTTAAGCTTAGGAAATAACCAGAAGTCACATGGTGCAATACTTGGTTAATTGTAAGAATTTTTTTATAAGCCAAAAATTGATGAACTATAAAAGATGTGTGACAGGGTGCATTTTCGTGATGCGAAAACCATTAATTTCTCCTTTAATTGCCTCTTTCGACGGATCGATCTTTTTATACGTTTTAAAAGTTCAATATAAAAACTTTTATGTTTTTGTCCATTTGGAATAAATTCTCAGTGAATTATCTTATCTGCTGCAGTTTTTCCGAGTTTAAAACAAAATTCAACGTTTAAATACCTAATGAAACAATGCGTTAAAGAAAAGTTTTGTTGGGCATTTTTTTAAAGGCATTTTTCTATATTTTCTAGACATTTTTTCGGCGGTTCTTAGGGCGCTAATTACTGAGCCCTAATAATTACTGCATACGTATTACGAACAATAATAAACTATCACCCGGTACTAGTACTGGTACGGCGTTTTTATTTCTTTGAATTGTTTCAGACTCATGGAGAATCAATGCCTTTCAAATGTCAATTCTGCCGGAGGCTGTTCAAACACAAGCGCAGCCGAGACCGGCACGTGAAATTGCACACGGGGGACAAGAAATACAAGTGTACTCAGTGCGACCATGCTTTTTCAAGGAGGTGAGTAGTGTCCGTGCGCGAGTACACGTGAGTGTGCGCATGCGTGTGCGTGCATGATACACACACGTATGTACACGATATATATATATATTAATTTATACGTATAGACGTATTGGACTTGTAAAATAATTCCGAACGTAATGACTATATCATTAGAGATTTGTCCGTATCGGCCGGGCGGCGAACGGAGCGCACGGTGTTTTCCATTGTATACGAATTCGTAGTCACGTACGTCGTATAAAGATATTTGGTACCTAGTTGACTTGGCAATGTACACGCGCCGCCGAATTCAATAGGTTATTTTCTTTATTTTCTTTTTTTTTTTCCCCTGTTTTTTACGTAATTACCGATGGCCACGCGTCCGAGACGATTATCCACGGGGAGAGACACACGCGCGTACGTGCATGTGTGCGTGTACGTGTACGGGTGTGCGTGTGTATACGTACACGGTCGTGAACTTCTCGAGCAGATGGACGAAAGGCACACGCGCGCACACGTCGTACCTATATTATAAGCACGCCCACCCAAAAAATGTCATGCAGACGTGCTCCCGAATACAATGCGCTAAAGAACATTATCGTCGGCGCTCGCGCGCGTGTTCGGTATGTGCTAACAAACTATTGTGCGCCACCGCGCCGCCGAGTGGACGTGTGGCCGCAAGTACGTTGAACTAAGAAGACGTGTGTCCTCACTCGCGCGCGCGCGCGCGCGCACAAACGGAAACGACGAAATAAAAAGTAAAAAGCGAACCAAGTGAAATACTCTACCGTAGGTTATCACATCTGACTATTTCGATGGCGTAGCGCACAAGTGTGATAAGTGACATTTTCGTAATTGTTCAGGAGAACGATTTTTTTTTAGTTATAACAATTCAAAAATGTAACGAACTGTAATGAACTTTTTGTTTTATTTTCCTTGGCACGTAATGAGTAATGAGGATTAAAAAAACCGGCAATCACCACATTTTGTGCTCGTAAAAAGTAATACTTAAACATATCACATTTTTCTTGGACAAAAATTACTTGAATAATATTATGATTTCATTTGTGCATAGTGTGCAGAATTTTATAATCAAATTGAATATGCATTTAACTGATTTTTCAAAAAAATTTCACTTAACACACTTGTGTGCTACGCCATCGATGTAATAATACAACGCGTATGACGAAACGTTATTCCAGATATATCCAATAATTATTGTCAGGCCAAAATGGTCGAAACGAAATGCTAGAAAAACATTAATTCGCTAAATTATAATCTATGTGTGTGTGTTTCAGTATTTCAGCGTACACAAATGCCTATTGCTTAAGCTTATAATAATTCGATCGATAGCAATATAACATATCATTATATAAACTTAATAATAATTATAATAATAATAAATGAAAACTTTTTAAACTTTTCCTATCACGCATTCAATTTAAAATGTATGTGTTCTGCAGTAAAATACCAGCTTAATACTTCTGAAAATCATTTTAAATTCTTCATAGAAATGATGTAATTTTTATGTTAATTTATGTCAGTATTTACAATTTTCCGCGATATTTGTTCATATAAATAATCTTTTTCGTGACTCCGTTTTATCTCACGCTTTTAAACGCCGCAGTATACAAGTACATTTTGTACAAAAGTAACAACTCTGTTTAACTATGTTTTACTTGTTCATACGATCATGTGTAAACGATAACAATAAAATGTATGTGTTGTTGTAGTGATCACTTGAAGATTCACATGAAAACGCATGACAATCAAAAACCGTTCCAGTGCACGGTATGCAACAGAGGTTACAGCACGGCGGCCGCGCTCACGTCGCATATGCAAAACCATCACAAACGGGCAGCCGAACGGGCAAACTCGCCGCAGATCTCCGGTCCATCGTACAAGTGTCTACAGTGCACTCAGATATTCCGCAAGCCCGACGAGTTGCAGGTCGGTATATGCACCCGAATGAAATTGTCCTCATCCTGTCCTTCATTTGTTCGCCCGGTTCCTCCTTCGGAAGTTTCGAAATCCTGTCTGCCCGCAACGGTTCTAAAACCGTATGATGCGTGTGTAATTATTGCTGTTGGCCAACCCCAACATAGACACGCGTAATCAATTTTTCAATTATGCGTAAATATTAATATAAAATTAAATAATCATGTAAAGTAAAATGGTCGCATACACTGTACATCAGATTTCATATTAGATTTTGTTGGTCGGGGGGGCCACCTTTGTGTATTGGATTCTGGCCGTGGATACAGACCGTTATGTATAAAGAATTTTAACTATAAAGATAAATAAATACGGTAGTGAGTAGCCCCTTGATGTACAACGTCATAGTATTTTGGAATACTTCACCAATAAAATTGATTATTATAATTTAGGAAATTAGATGTTTCTAAAGAATGCAGTCACTTTTTATGTGGTCTACATACTAATTAAAAAAAAGTAAAATAACTTTTTTTCAAACTGAGTTAAATTAACATTTTTTTCCTAATTAACTTTTAACTTATCGAGTTAAATTTATGAATTGTTAGCTATTAAATTTTAACTTATCGATCTTGTATTTTGTTAACTTAACTTAACTCGAGTTGATTATTTTCATTAACTTGCCCACCCTTGCATATATGAAACGGTTGTGCAGCTACGCCGCGGAGCTTACCACGTGTATCATAAAGTCCGCATCACGTTTTGTATAGCTTCCGCGACGACTTTGTCGGACTGACAAGACCGATGGTCAAGGTTACATTACATAAAAATTAGCGTGTGTTATCGAAGCACTACATTATGGCGAAAAACAAGTCCTAGTCCTAGTTCGGAAACAGACTACAGCTAACATCAGTGGCGCCCGAGGCGTGATTTTCAGCTGTAGCAAAATTTTATTATGTCCACTTGACCCCTGAAAAACTCCAAATTTAAAGATTTTTTTGTTTTATTATTTATTAATATTGTAGATGTTGTATAAAAAATAACACAGAAATAATTTGAATCATGAATACATATATACCAATATGTAGATATTGGTACAATCTTATCATCATTATTAATATCAACAATAATAATAATTAATGTGTCTCAAGTTTGTTACTTTAACTACTTTAACTACATGTTATAGTATCCACCCACTCCTTATTTTCTAAATGTAACGGCTGATACATCTAGCAATTAGGTTGGGTGCCACTGGCTAAAAAATATTACATGTATATATATATAAAGAAATATTCATTGAAGCGCTTGCCGTGTTTTTAAAACTAATCACTACTACAATACATTGCACGTTCACAAGTTTTTAATTGTTGGAAAACAAAACTGTTGCTAAAACAATTGCTGAAAAACAAAAATCACAACATATTAGCAATCAGAGCCGTTTAATAGCAGTTTTAATAAATGTTCATTAAATTTGAATGACCTTATGAAGTCGATGTTATTGGTACTTCCTCGAGGCGTTTCAATCTGAATGCTGTCGCGCCCTCTAGCCCGTTCCATTTTGTAATAATATCTTCCATTTTTTAAAAAATCGTGGTAAAACGAAAAACGTATGGACGGTTATGGAATAGTGATTTTGGCGAATACCTTTATATTTTATATATAGCAGTATAATGATGATTTTATATTTAAAATTAACACTATATACAAGCGTCATAAAAATAAAATAGGAGAATTATAGAATCTTTACGTGTATGCGATGCGTTTATATGTCATTTACCCTAGTAGAGTAAATGTTAGATAACTATAGATGGTTGATTTTACTTTAAATGTTAAGTACTACCAATTATTGTGATTTAAAAATCATTAAAATAATCATATTGTGTTTAAATCTTAGTTTTTAAACAATATAACTCGTTGGGAGAACATTTTTTATGTCATAAATGAAAAAAAGTTTGTAGTCGTTGAAGAAAAATCATTATACTAAAATAAAAATTAGGACTTTTTTAAAAATAAAAAATATGAATACAATGGATTTAGTCATAAACGCAGTTACATTTGAATTATTTAACGTTTTTATCGTTACATATCAGTTGTTTGATTCGTGTTATTTGTGAAATTATTCATTCGATTACAACGTGAACCTGACGTTAATCGATGTAATATAATTAAATGAAGATGTTTACCAGATACTAAATAACTACTGTACCTATCATGCATTTCATACATATTTCTGTTTTATTGTTACCTTTTTGTAATAGAAACCAACACCTCGAATGAAAGTAGTGTTAATTAGAATGTTACGTTTAGCGTTTCTGAGTATCTCATTTTTGTTTAACAAAAATACCACTAGATGGTAGTTCACGAATGATAATTGTTATTATGCAATATAAATTTACCGAAAATAATTATTACATCTGACAAACTTAAATAACTAACATATAAAATTGAATAACAGAACTTTTTACATATTTTAATTGTAATATAACTTTTCGTTTTACAAAGATTATTCATTTCGAAGCTAAAACATTCATCTTCGAGCATTCGTTATTGTTATATTTTTGTTCGTTGTTATTACTTCTATTTTTTTATAATATATACCTACTTCTTCAACCATAATATATAAATCAATAATATATTGAATATTATATTATATCCATTACACAAGAGATCCTATATATAATTTTATATTTCAAAAATCTTATTGATTTTCAATGATTGTTGATTTTATTGTTGTTGCTATTGCAATAATAATACATACATATTTTTAGTAAAACGTTCATAAAAAGTAATGAGTAAATGATACAACACGTCGTCTTCAGCAAACAATTGTAATACTATCGTTTACCTCGTGTAGAGGTATATTATGTGGTTCATATATTATAATCTTGCATAAAAATAAATAAAAATAACAAATTCATAAACACTTCACCGTACAGACATTAGCTACTAAAGCCCACTCAGCTGAGATGAACTGACCAATTATTGAAAAACATCCAGCAATCGAACAATGTCAACTAATGTTTTAGACTAAATAAAATAAGATATAATTTAACGTCTTAATTGTTTTTATTTACAACAATAAAAATAATGGTCATACAGTAAACAACCGCAATTTGCTGTAGTTTACATGTGATCGAGTGCCACCTTCGTTCATTAGAAATTCACTTATTTTTAAACTCGCTTAAGTATGTTTAAATGCAATGTGATTTTATACGTTTTTTTTTCATATCAGTTTTGAAATAAAACCGACGTATTATTCGTGCATGAACTGTAAAAATAACTTATTGAAAACAAATTTATGAATGCATTTTTTTTACCTAACAAATTCTAATCCGTTGAATTATTGGTCTATTCACCCTACAGGATGCATTTATTTTAACCAAAATACTGTACGTACATCGGTCCGTCCCTAAGTAATTTTCTCTGAAGTAGTCGTAACTACACGGTTTCTATACATTGTCTCGTGGTAGACATTTGGAGGTAACGTTTAATCGCGATCGCATCTGGTACACACAAATATGTTATGCTGCTAGTTTTCCAACGTCCGTTTATCCATAGTTATTGAGCAGAGTTGTGATTTTTCCTACAAATCTGTTCATCCGTACCGTTAATATTATGGTCCCTGTGTGTCATTATTGTATAACTGTTTTATCTCTGCAGAACCACACGGCGACGCATCATCTGGGCGAACAACTGTCGTCGAATTCCCGGAGCTCGAATAAACGTTCGACGCCGCCGAAAACGCCGAACCAGTACATATGCATGTACTGTACCAAAGAGGTGCCTAGCATGGAAGCACTGCAACAACATTTCCAGACCAAGCACTGTAAGTATAAAACCATAATATCGGTAACCCTGATGCGGTCTGACGGAGCTGACGATTTTGGACGAATTTAAGTAAACACACGAGATATAGTTGGTAAAAATCACCCATGTATATTTTAGTTTATACACGAGAACAAGTATACCGGTACATAAGTTACGACACCGAAGAATACGTATAATATGCGAATTCTTTCACAAACAAGTACAAATGCCTTCCCACGTTGTTACTACTTGGGAACTACTGACGACTTTTTATGTAGGTAGTTGGGGTTTTCTTAAAATTCGTTTGTTTTAATGTTTCATGAAAAAAAAGTCTAATGTCTAATCCTATTTTTTTATTGAATGTAGACTATTTTAATACTACACAAATAAATAAAATAATAATAATGTATTATCCATTCATACAGTTACTCGTACGAATCATAAATGAATTAATTTTATCTTATGGCCTCGTAGAAAATTTCGTATTTTTACTTCTGTTCGCGTCATAACTTTCATGTGTGACCGCTTACCTGGGTATGTTTCGTATGGGAACTTACCAAATCCCACGATTACAACTATTTGTCAATGATCCGCATGACAATATGGTTATTTCCATAGCATAGTACTTTTCCATCCGATGGTATATTTTTCGAACGATTTTTTTCTCCCCACGTTGGTAAATGCAAAATTCTTCCGCATAAATATTATATCTAAACTTTGGTTTCAACTCGGTCGCATTTCAACCGTTTCCGAAAATGTAGTTGTTCGGCCCGAGAACCAGAGCAACTCTTTTTCGACCGTTTAACTATTACCGCGCCTTTTTTTCCTAATCGGACCGACTTAACGAGCCGCAAACAGTCAACTCGCCTTGCAACATCTCACGCTCGCGTAAATACTCGGTGGAATGCACTAACATTTGAACGGTGGGGGGGTAGCAGGCCCAATCTCGAAGGGTGCACATTTCTCATTCTCATCCTGCAAATTAAAATAACTTGGATAATCCGCATTTTTTAAATAGTATTACTACTCAGTAGAAGTTTAACAGTAACCTAACCTAACCTGTATCAGCCCCAAATAGAAGGGTAGTAGATGATCAATCCTAACCCAATTTCGTCCGCCCTGTGCCGCGGGGTTTATCCACAACTCGCCTGACCCGTTTCATCTGTTTGTAGCCGCAATCGTGAACGGCAAACCACCGGACGACGTGTTCTCAAATATCCCGTCGGCGGCCGCGTTTCCGTGGCTCAACTTTGCCGACACGCCCGCCCTGACCCTGCCGCCGTATTCGTGCCGGCTGTGCATGAGCCAGTTTCCGTCCGTGACTTCGCTCCAGAAACACTTTACCACTGCTCACTACCTGAACTCCGTCCTCAACAACAACATCCAGAGCAGCAACAACAACAACAACAACAACACCAAAACTAGCAACAATAACACGAACAGCGGCGGTAAAAGTGTCGGCAGCCCGATGCCGCTGTTCAATTGGCCGGCAATCGCTTCGAACGGATACCATCATCATCACTCGGCGTCCGGCGGCGGTTTCTTACCCGACGAGAACGTGCAGACCGGGCCCACCGACTTGTCCGTGTCCTCGTCCAAGCACAGCGGTGGCGGTGGTAAGCATCATTCTTCGTCAGGCAAGCACAAGTCGACGACGGACGATGATCGGACCCACGCGAGCAGCAAAAAGTCCCGTTCGTCGCCCGGCCGTGAACCTGTACCACAACACCTGTCCGACGCACGCCCGACAAAACCAGAACGGACCGGGAGTAGCCACGGGTATAACGCGTACGAAGGCAAACACCAGCACTACCAGCAGGACCAGCAGCAGTTGCAGTCGGCTGCGCGATCGGCCGCGCTCGTGGCCAGCTCCAACAACAAGATCCAACTGCCGTGTCCTCACTGCCACCTGACGTTCGTGCACTTCGAAGACTACCAGCAGCACGTCATCGGTCACTTCCTGATGGCCGCCGCCGAGTACGCGTGTCAGGAGTGTTCCACGTCGTTCGCCACCTCCGAGCACGTGCAGAAGCACCTGATGGAGACGCACGCGCAAAACTTCTACCGGTGCATGTTGTGCAAAGAGGTGTTCCCCACCAAGTCCGCTCTCAAGGTGCATTTCAGCATGAACCACGGTAGCGAGCACCGGATGTTCCGGTGCAACAACTGTACCGGGCTGTCCAGGCCGCTGTTTCAGACGGAGATCGAGTTCATCGACCATCTGAGGAACACCCATTACTCGGCAAGATCGCCGCCACCGCCGGCGCCACCACCAGTCCAGACCAACCTAGTACGTATATTGCAACTACGGGGGATATGACTCACCCGAACGAAACTTAACGAGTCTTAGTATTTTTGTTTTATTGTTGATTCGTGTTCGCATAGAGTAGAAATGCCGGGAATCTGAATACATATTATATAAATGCGAATGAAAATATAAACCGTATTAAATACCTTTATCAATTATGTAGTAGTGCTAAGACGGAATTTCACTACAGTCCCGTTCGAACCTATTGTAGTGTGATAATATTAATGGGATGATAGTAAATAGGATACTCCTATTAAGTAACGAAGGAATCCCCGAGGAAATGGATTAAATGGGAGTGTGGTTCCGTGCCGGCTGTATTTTCTCGATACTTAAGCTCCTACTCCCCCAATGTTTAGACTCTAGTAGCGCATACGCAAGCTCTCCGGTGTATCACCGTTTAAACATTCCGAACGATTTTTCAGATGCTCAGGTGCTTAGTATGTCACGCCACGTTTAACACGCAATCCGACATGGAACAACATTTAGCTAGTCATTCCAAACAGTTCCAATGCCAGTTTTGTTCCGAGGCGTTCCACATCGAGTTCTTGTTGGACAGGCACATACAGACGCATCACAGTTCCGTGGTAGGTTTCCACGTCACGGCACGTGCTGACGACACCTTGTGAAACAGTATTATAACGTACAAAGATCTTTGGGGTTTTGCAGATTTTGAATCATCTCAACCGGAATCGTAGGGAATCTCCGAACTCCGTGTGCACATCACCCACGTTCATGTCCCGATCGGTCGACGGTGGTAAGCATGTGATGGAAAACGGGACGACCGCTTGCGACCTGTGCGAGAAAAACGATTTCCGAAATGAGTTAGACTTGATTGCGCACAAAAGAACGATGCATCAGGCATCGAAGCTCACCAATCTTTCGACAAAAGTATGTAGATTGACGGGGGATATGAATAAATGAATAATAAATAATTGGCTGTTTTCAGGTGAGTTTGCATTGCGCGTATTGCAACGAGAACTGCAAATCGAGAACGGAGCTGGAAAATCATATGAAAACCCATTCGCAGCACGGTTCGAACGTCGGAAAACACAAGTGTAACATTTGTGACGAGATCTACCAATCCGCGATCAGCCTGGCCGAACACAAACTCACGCATTGCAAGGTAAGCTCTTTCCCGCCCATCCGTCTACTAGGTCCTCTGCCCTAGGCTCCTAGTTCCGCGTACAGTCCAGACTGACGTTACCGTCCCTTTTTGCGCAGGTGGCCACAAGCACCGTATGCAGTCACTGCAAAATGATCATTGACAACGAGGAACAGTTCTACCAGCATCTCCAGAAGCACTGCAACCCGGTGAACGTGAACGGTGGCCATGTGACGTTCCCCACGTCATGCATCATTTGCAGACAGACTCTGGTCTCGGACATCGAAGTCAAGGTGCACGTGCACTACCATCTGTCCCGGGTCAAAGAACCGCCGGCCGTGTGCGGGAACTGCAACCGGTACAAGTCGTCCGCGTCATCGCCGTGCACCGGTTGCAGCCGGTCTAGGAACAACGCCACGGAACGATGTCCTGACTGTGGCACGATGTTCGAGACTTTCGGCTCGTTACAGCATCATCTGACGACCGTCCACAGAAAACCGTTTCACTGTTTCAAATGCAAGGTAATATACATCACTGCGCCGTTGATACATTAGGGAACGCATCGTATTGTTCTTGGACATGTCGTTCAGAATGAAGAATGAGTGACTAAAGAGGGAAAATGTTGAAAGAGTGGCGGAGAGGAATGGAGATCGATTACATGTGTAATTTTTTCAGGATAAAACGTCGTTAGGTGTAATTTTCCAAATTCGTTGAGCGTTTTTTTCTTCGTAATATCGTGATATATTTTTATTTTATAATTTATCACCTAATTTTCTTCTCCGAAGTCAATATGTGCTCGGGTTTCGAAGTTATTAATGTTTTTGCTAAAGAACGTGTTTCACGTCTCCAACCAATCTCAATTATGCACTCGAATTAAAAACAAAATATAAGAATCCAAAAAAATCGGCCGTTTCAGCCGCGTTCGCTCACAAACTTTGTACGACTTTTTTTTTTTAATTTTTTTTCTCATGTCATTCCATTTCTCAGATCGGGTTCGAGTCGCAACAAGAAGCCACGATCCACCTGGGCACGCACCTGGCCACGTTAAACGGCTCCGTGGACGGCATCGAATGTGGCCTGTGCCCGTGCGTGTTGCCTACGGCCAACGGTCTCCAGACGCACCTGATCGAGCACACGTTCGCCGGCTGCAAGGCGTACACTTGCTACCTGTGCTCGGCGATATTCACGGCGCCCACCGGCCTCCAGGCGCACATGACGGTCGACCATTCCAACGAGACGCCGCCGTACGACTGTCCCAGGCCGAATTGTCCGGCCAAGTTTTTCTTCACCGCTGAGCTCGACCGACACACGCTGGAACACCAGGGACAAGACGTGCTCGCAAACGTAAGCGTGCCGATCACAATCGTTTGACCGTTGTTCAAACGATAACTCGTTTCGCCGTTCGGTGGCACAGTTATTGTCAGTCCAGCGACAGGAACCGAACCGAAAGCAACTGAATCCATGAAATCTTAACCTTCGATCTGAATTTTGAATAATCAGAACCCAAAACCGGCATTATGAAACCACTTTTTTTTTATTTTAGTTACGATTTCATAATTGAAACCATTCATTATTTACAATCGAGATTTTATATTTTTGAAAACCGAAACCGTTGAAACGGTTAAGGTTCCAGTCCTTGTTTATTTTCAATGTTTTATTTTGTCTTTTCTTCCGAATTCGGAACGAAAATTATTCATCAAACTGTTTAAGCATTTTGCAACAAAATCCGTTTTTATTTAAGCGTTTCATTTGATTTGGGTCTTTTTTTTTATCGTAACACGTTTTTCATGCTGCATAAAAGGTACCTTACTCACTTTTATTTGTATTTTTTGTACTTCGATAGAACGCGACCAATTATTAAACGTACTTTACATTATTCGTATGTGGCTAGCATTCATTTCTGAATCCTTGTGGTTCAGTATTATAATAAAGACGAACGCAGCTAATTTGTAACGGGAACCGAGAAACCCTTCCTCATGTGTGTCGTAAATAATATTAACGAAAACGGTTTCCCGTATTTCGTTCAAGAATTCCGTTTTTATTACTATTGTTATCCTATTTCCTGCATGAGAATACACAAGACATGTATAATCATCTTTTACTCGACGAAATCGCGGTGCAACCCTATGACTGACATTATGCCTGCGCGTGCGATACCGCTCAACTGAACAGTCGACGTTTTTCTTTCAGATGAACTTCTACAAGTACCAGAACAAGCTAATGTCCGTCTGCGAGAGTATGTCGTTCAAATGCGCGGAATGCTACCAGAGCTTCCTGACGCAGTCCGACCTGCAGTGCCATGTGTACGACCGGCACCAGCAAAAGGACGCGACGACCGAAGTCAAAGACGTGAAACTGGAAGAGACGACCGGTGGTGATGAGGTGAATGGTGGTAGTGTTGGTGGTGTGGATAAGGCCGGTGGTAAGGTCGTCGAGAAACCGATCAAGAAAGAGAGCGTGCAGGACGAGGTAAACGTGAAGACGGAACATCTCGAAAAGGATGACGGTGACGAGCATGAAATTAACAACGACAGTGTCACTAGCGTCAAAAATGCGGGCGAGGACGACGACGAGGACGAGGACGAAGAACTGATCGATGTGGGAGAGAACAACCGTGTCGACGAGAAGCCGCAGGCGGACGACGCGGACGCTCATTGACCAGTGTCGTCACATGCACCATTCACATTAACGTGATCATCAAAATACGCAATTATTATTTTAATATCGTTATTCTCGTCATCTGATGGACACACGTGATACATTATTATTCGTTTTGACGAATAAACTCGTACATCGTCAAACGGTTATAACAGTACATTATGATATGGCATATATATAATACTTTTTAATGTTGATAATGTTTAAATCGACGGTGTACAATTCATATAAAGGTATGTATATTGTAATATACCATACACGATACATTTGTAAATTTAAATAATATGCATGATATTATGATAGAGTAGGTGGCGAAATATAATTATTGTTATTATTATTATTATGATCATTAATTTTATAACTATGATATGGCAAAAACTATTTTTAAAGTTTAAAAAAATTATTATCCACTTCATTTAATAAAATATTATGTAATAATATTTACACATTGATGTTGTTATAATACATAATTATTAAATAGTTATACATTTTTAGCTTAAATTTAGCTTATATCAATATTATTATTTAATACCTTTCATAGTATTTATGTTTACGTTGAATGATTTATAGTTATTGCGTTATTTTATGTTATTTTTTACTGTACATAATACGATTAAAGTTATTTTATAAAACACGTGTACATAAAAACGATTATATATTATTATTATTGTCTTTTAAGGGTTATGGCTATGTCTTATGGTTAACAATATTTTGTTTTTTATCTTACTTTAATTTTAATTGTGATACTATTTTATCAAAACGGTTTTTATTATACACGATGTGTTGATTTTTTTTTTTCAAATAATTTTACCTCCTGGCGTATTCCTTTTAAAACAACAATTTCCCGTTATGGATAAAATTAGTATTTTGTTCACGGAACAAATACATCGGCTTAAAACTATATTCAAAATTTAAGTCGGTGACTTTTAATAAATATTTATATCGGATACAGATGAAAAATGTTATCTATCGATATCTTAAAATCGTAAAAAATGCATTTACGAATATAATCATTGTTGCGTAGTGGATTTCAGCTCAAGACACTTGTCCGGTCGCTGATTCTCAGGTGGTAGTCGATCATCGGATAACGTAACCGTGATATTGCGGTACGAGGTAGTCGTATTAAAATGCAACTATTGAGTCTTCTCTGAAATACAGCAGTTGAGACGCAATACCCTTGGATGGCAATATCGTGTAAATAAAAACGTTTTCGTTTTTAATGGTCGGTATAGTTATATGTGCATTGCAGTAAGTGGACTTTATATGACTCTCAAACGTGTCCGGTACATAAATCGATCTCCAGTCATCGAAAGACGCTCGAGCAATGCGATATCGATATTATGGTGTTATAATATTCACGTCCGTGCACGTTACGCGTGAAAATCAAAGATTTCCAAGATAACCAAACGGCAACGAGTGCGTACCACTGTATTAATTTATTTTCGACGTAAACACAGTGTTCAATGCCCGTGCGAACGGATATACGGTGTGCGATTTCGTTTGTGATTACTTAAGAAAAACGATCGGGAGAATCATGGAGAGCTCGAAATTCGATGATAAAACCAACGTGGACTGCATAGCAATTGCCATCTTTTCTGATCGACTACTTGACCGCGGGGTGCTCCGTTGACGCAGCACCCGGTTTCCAGACCATTGTAAGTAGTGGCGGATCCACGGGGGGGGGGGGGGGGGGGGGAAGAGATTAAAACCCTCCCATAATAAGGAAGAGTAGATATATATTAAAAATCAATAATTTTATGAATTAAGAAAAAGATTTTTTTTTTTAAAAGTATGAGAGAAAGTATATAATTTATATTTTTATTTATACAAAAAATTAGTAGTCTTAAGGTACGATTTCCAAGCTGCGACTAGCCGCAGCATGATTGACTACTCTATAAGTAAATGCCTAATCGTGGTTTCCAACGTCCGATCAACTAGCGTGCGTCAACAATAGTCTTTGCATTTGACGATCGTAGTGCTCTGGAAGCAGCGTGTTGCGTGAATCGCATCGCAATTTTATACTGAACGAATTTATTATATATTTTTTTAAATAAATTAATTAAATCGAAAACCATCAAAAACCCTCTTCACTGATGATGAGCAGTTAGTTGAAGAAGTTCTACATATATGAAGTATACATTATTTCTTTTTCCTACTTTTAAAATAAATTCCTGATTATTTTATTTTGATTTATAATTATTTGTTCCATTTTTTATTTATTTTTAATGATAAATTAAAAAAACAAAATACGCTTATGCACCACGAAATATCGATCTGAACTAAACTAAACTGAAAATAAATACCAGTCGCAGCATTCAATCGTATGTAGGAAACCACTATACACCCAATGATCAGACGTTGCGGCTAGTTGCGGCTTGGAAACCGTACCTTTAGATTTAAATTAATGCATTATATTATTTACTATTATCTTAATTCATTATCAATCATTGACTGCAATGTTATGAAAAATATCCCAAAGGAAAACATTTTTCAAACCCTCCCTCCCTAAAAGAAAATCCTGGATCCACCGTTGTTCGTAAGAGAGGCGCCGGGAACCGTTGACACGACGTCCAACTCGCACCGGATTCGACCCTTTTCTGTTCACGTCATATGAGGTGACACGTCACGAGCCTCGCCGTTTACGTAGAGTATTTTGCAACTTGTAACTTCGCGTTGTAAAACGTTTGTTTTATTTATATACCTGTCGAACGTCGTGCCGATGTGGCCAAGGTATTGTTATTTTTATTGTTATTATTTTCGTTCTGTTTTATTTTTTATTTTATTTATTTATTTATTTATTTTTTTTGCGGCAGTAAATCTTTATTATTATAATAATTACAATCATCATCGTGTTGTGTTGTACAGCCTAGATCGAACGCGCAACAAAGCATGATCACCTATAAATTGCATATACAAAGCGCCTTCTTACAAATGTATACACGAATGGTGCCGGTCAAAAAATTGTTGTTTTTTGTGTATTTGATTATTTACCACGTTCAACCGAAAATCGATAGCCGATAAAATGTGTGTATGTGTATAAATATATATAGATATATTAATATATGTTTATAACCGAATGAGAAATGAGAACACTTGTACTAAACTGGTAAAATAAATATAATTATAATCTGGCTATGTACCACTATTCCAAAAACTGAGTTGCAGAGAACTTTACTTTATTGTACTTCATGTTATATATTTAGGTACCTATATTTTATTTCCGTATAGGAACCAATATATTGCTATAATTTTTTTGTACAGAAATGTACATGTTATGTAACAGGCTACCTGTTACGTTTCGTGTGCGATTTTGCCAAACATAATTTTAATTGTTTATTTGTAAACTAATAAACCACAACTAATTAGTATATCAAATACAATAAAACACAAAAAAGTTTTGATAATGTTTTGGATTATTGAAAACAATATATAATCTAATAATTAGGTCCAAGGGCGATTTTAATTGTGTCATCAGTTCTCAATGTTGCTTTTTTTCTGATCATCATCGGATAAGAATCTTCCATGTACTTATAATTCAAAATTTTAACTTCAGACGGATTTTGATTTTTTTATAACTAATTATTATTCATTCATAACCACAAATTCAGAATCTGTTACCAAAGCATTCCGAATGCGAAATCGAAATCAGATTATGTGATAAACCTGAGAGTTAAGTTATCTGAAAAATAGACGAATATTTTATTTAACTTAGTTAAAAATACCATTAACTTACCCATGCTTAATGTATCATTATATGAACTGAATGATACATTAATAATCATTCATTATTAATGATTTGGTTCGTAGCAGTAAAATTAATTCTAGCCTTGTAAGGTTCCGAACACATATTAAGTAATAATAATAATAATAATCTGACCTAACGCAATGGCCATACCTGTACCTTTATGACGTTTAACATAAATTTACAAAAGAATAGGGTCGCCAACTTACTAGGCGAGACCATAAGGTCGGACCACAGTAGGATTTTTTAGTTAGAAAAATATCACGCCGTCAACGAAACAAACTTAGTATTTTTCGAAAATAATAAAATATCAAAAAAAATAACTGCATATAAATTAATAATTGAGTCGTAATGCTGCTTCATTACCTTAGTGACGTGATTTTTTACATACCATGTGGAATGATTATTTGAGACCATTGCCCGTACCTTATACACTAAAGATTTTTGACAGGGAAATATAAAAAAATACATGAGTCCGTTGAAGATGGAACACACAAAAAAAGACGATCGAGTTAAATTGAGTTGAATGGAAATTTATTAAATAAAAATTTTACGTTAATATGAGGCAAGAAATCTATTGATCAAAAAACCTCATCTGCAATTAAAAGGGAAACAAAAATAAAATAAATTAATCAAAAAAATGACACCTACGCATTTTTTCAAATAATGTGATGAACGCCTTCGGGTACACGTCCCGGATTTTTCTGTGAGATTAAAATTACTATCACATGACAATAATATTAAACGGGACGGGTAGTCTGGTACACATCCATCACCGCTGTAGATCTCCACAATAATAATAATAATAATAATACACTTGGCTCATATATATTAATTAAACATAAAAATATATTACCAGCCCCGGAGGGCTATAGAAGCTGCGGCCCGGTTTGGCCGACGCCATTAAAGAATTCACATTTTCACAGAAGTATATAATAAATAAAAAAAACTGTGGTTGCTCCGCACACAACCGGCGACAAAAACGGAGTGCTGTTTCCAATGGTGGCCTTTTCGTACCTCGCAGTATTATCGACCTACTAGAATATCCCAACAAACCCATCCAATTAAAATATATTATTATTCGACCATATGACGTCTAATACAATCCGACGTGCAAGATATAGGATGGGCGACGGGGTAAGTGCACACACGAATGCCGCCGTTGTCCAAGTTGACGATGTAGCGACACAGATTAACCTAACCTAACCTAACCTAACCTAACCTAACCTCGCACACGCAACAGAGAATCGGAGTAATATGAAAAATAATGGGGCCTCCCCGTGTTTATAGATTATAAACACATATAATTATTTACAAAAGTACCATTTTGTCACGTTACAGCCTATAGTCAACCAGTACCATCATGGTCTAGTGAGCTTATGTTCCAATACAAACCGTAAAACTAATTTGGTGAGAAACAACTGATGATAGTTACTATTGTTTTTTAAAAAATTAGAAGCCATAGTAAATGATCAAAAATTAATACAATTTGGCCTATATAAGTTAATTGGTTACCTTATTTTGTCAATCCCAGTTGTGTAAACAAAAAAATTTTTTTAATGGATTTTCATGTTTTTAATTTTTTTACTCGGAATCCAATATTGGCAATATATTATTTTTATTTAGAAACTAAATCTTCAGATAATATTATCCTTTTAATTTTTTTAAATTCTTTAGTGGGTGTTATTTACTGATTTGCCATCAAATAATAAAAATAATATTTGATACTATAAATAAAATATTGTTTAGTAATATAAAATGAAAAAGGGCTAAATTTAATGTATTGTGTAATTAATTTGCAAATTAATATATCGTTTATAATTTGTATTTCAAAATTACAGAATAAAAATGGAAGGATTGGTCGAAAACCGGCTTTTGATCGGTAATCGATATTTAAAAATAATAACCAACGTTTTTAAGCGGTAACCGGTTAACATTACATTTTCAATACCAGTGAAGAAACGGTTACCTGACAATCATGGTATTATATGATGACGATTAAGCTATAAGTAATATTAAAAAACTTCAGATCCTATTGGAACCGATCACTTTATATTTAAGAATAGGTTTTAATCCCAACTAAATATTATATATTATTATAAAACTAAGTTGTCCAACATTTAATGCAAGTGAAAAAAAATATAAATGAAATTTTATTTTAATGCACAAAAGAAACATATGTTTTTTGGCTGTAAATGAAAAATTTAATAAACTATGAAAAATATAAACGAGACTCTCGAAAGATTCAATAATTAATAGTTGTGAAAAGCACATTTTTAATTTTGTATAATAATTCTTGCAAAACATAACGTTTTATTGTAAATCTATAATATGTTATTCAAACGTTTTAGAGTAAATGTGTCCTTTAAATTGAACTTGTATAACGAGAAAAGTCATTACCTTCGATAATAACGATAATAGTTGCCTGTAGTTAATTTTGTAAATTCCACACAGCATGAAGTTGAAGTCTGCGTGCAATCTTCGCAACGAAAAAAATGCTAGCTGAAAAACCGAACGAAGAAAAATATTCGAAATGATCTACAAATAATTTAAAGACTTACCTTTCGGCGAACTTTCTGATCCGTTTCCATTATTAACTTTTGTTGTAAGACCAAAGTCGTCCGGTTTACCTGTAAGCACGAAGAGGAAACACAGTTATAGCATTGGCCAGTGGAGCACGCAGAATGGGGAGGCCTAACAGGCTGAAGCCCCTCCCCTCATTGCACATTATAATTAATATATATTTTTATATTTACCCATGGTTTAAAGTAATATCTCAAAATGTGATATTAACATAACCACGCTTAACATTTTAATCATAATTACCTAATTATTACAATTTACAACCATAATCCGTGGATATCTATTATTATAACTGAACTGATATTACCAACAATCAAAGCATTGTAAGGTTATTTTTTCGGACTTACATTGATAAAATATTCGACATTGAAATTATTAAAATCGTACTTAAGATCAACCATGACGGAGGAACGTCTTAATAAATTAGTTGTAGTAAATAATAACAAAAAAAGAAGAAGGAACTTACAGAATTTTAAGTTTTATAAGCATTTTCAAAAAGCTCACCTTAGATGACTGCAATAATTGTATTTATTAATTATTTTTAGACTGGAAAACATTTAAATTTATTTTAATATAATTATTTTTATTATTATATCTTTATGTTAGTATTTTTGGATACAACTCAAAATAGGTTATTGGAGAGACCTACATTTGGACTCCTCACATTTATCCTCCGTATATTAGTACAGTACTTCAGTGGTGTATTACTAATATAAATCATAGGAGTGATTTTTTATTATAACTATCATAATTGCTTCTCTCAAACAATATTCAATATTCAACACAACAAAGTACCTCTATCTCGACGGCCCTGCAGAACCAGAACAACAGGACCGTGTCGAACAGCTTGAGTGCCACGTCGAGGACCGGGACGAACAGGTTCACCTCCGACGCGATGAACAAGCCCTTGAAAATCACGTAGTGATACAGCAAGTAGATTACGGACGACATGTTGTTCGCGATGATGTTGACTATCATGGGCAACCCGAGAACGAAACGGTTCATGTGCTCCAGACCATCCAGGACGACCGTGTGCAGCGTTCCCAGTTCGCCGATGGACACTGAACCCTTGGACAGCTCGTCATTGATTTTGCGCACCATTATCCGCACGCACGTCACTAGCGCGATGTATTCGTAGAACACGAAATTGTTAAACACGACACTGAGCGACCACATGGCCTGGAAAAAAACGATACAGCTCGCTATCAATGGTTCGGGAGAGGACGAGATCATATGCGGTACACGGAAAAAACATTACTATTATTTTATAGTTAAAATAAATACAGTTATATTTACTGTATTTTTGATTATTATAACAAAACGAGTGTAGTTTCAATAACTATAATAATTTAGTAACATTATAAATAAATAATATAATTAAACTACCTAAAATAATGATTGATGGTTTTACAAATTATTATAGACAGTGCTTGACTTGGCAAAATTAAAGAAGGAGGACTCTGTTTCTTTTAAAGAAAAATAGCTTCCCCAAGACTTGTTAAGCATTATAATTATAACGTAATATTAGTAGGGAACACTAAAGTTTCTGAAAATTAGTTAGGGTACCCCGTCCCCCTGCGTCCTCATCAAGCCAAGCACTGATTATAGATAAATTTTATAACTATAAAATGTAATTCAAACAATAAAAATTATAGTTGGCAAAGATGATGTTACTATTATTTATAGTAGGATCAACTATAAAAATATGTTGGTTCATATTTTGAGGTTATCAACATGGATTGTTATTTTTTCCGATTAATCACATTTTAGTTTGCATACGCGCTTGAGATCACTTTGTTTAATTTAAATTAAGTTAAGTTTTTAATAGTTTTATTTTCAAAATTGTTCAAAATTATTCAAAATTAAATTGAATACAATTTTCAGGTATGTACATTTTACATTATAATATTTTATTGTAATGGAGTAGCCAAGGAGGCTATGATCCATGGTTGATTGTTTATGGGTAGTAAAAAAATATCACCTGGGCGTTTAAATACCATATTTAATATTACGGTCGCCCATTTTTTCTTAGCTATGCCATTGTTTTATTGATAAGATAACTTGCAGCCTATATTATTATATTATTTGAAAAGATTATGAGGACTGTCTTACTTGGTTAAAGATTCAAGTCGAACCTGAAAATGTTCTTCATAAACTTTGAAATAAAACCTCTCAATATAGGCTTGAATTCTATAATAAATGACAATATGATGAACATATATCCAGCTTTGAAAAAACCCACTAGTCATTATCTTGTTAGTACCTATTACGTATAAGTTGGTTAATTTTTAGGTTTGATACTTACCAACCAAAATAAATTGAATTAAATACTTAAATTACAATGTAATAATATTTTTATAGGTTGATATAGATTTTGCTCATCTGTATCCACATAAAATAATGTGCTTCTTTCAAAAATTTGAAACAATCAAAAACAAGATAAAAATATACCTCAGTAAAAATTGTATTAATGTGGGTTCTCACAAGGATTAGAAAATTTCAAAATACTTGAAACTCCTTTAAAGGCTGGCAAGTGTACCTGATTTGTTGTAATAAATAGACTAATATTTCATTTGAAATTAAAAAATTGGCAGATGATGATTTAGCTGCATTTAAACTAATTCCATTTTTATTATCATCAGTTAATGTTATTTTTAACAATAAAAAAATTCTTAGACCATCAAAAATTGAACATTTGCATCCTTTTATTGTGAACTTACAGGTAATTTATTATAATTAATAAGTAATGGTTAATTATTAATATTTATATTTTATATTTCAGAATGTTAATGAAATGAAAACTACACATAGACAAAAGATAGCATTAGCATTAAATTTTGGTATAACTGTACAACCCTATGTTCTTGTTGTTGTTGGAAATATTAATGAAATAGACAATTCTATGCAATATTTCACTATAATTGATAAAGTTCATTTTCAACTGGAAAATTTAAATAAAAAATTTAATACACAGTACTTTAATATTAATTAATTAATTTAAAAAACATTTACCCTACTCATCTTTGTAGTATTTCTAATGGGTTATCATTTATACTATTAAAATTATAAGCATATGTTTAATAAAAAAATATTCAAAATATGTTTATTTATTATTATATTATATTATATACACATATTTTGATTACTATTTTATGTATGTAAATATTTAATAAATTATAATTTTGTAACATAACACATTTTCAAATATATTTTGTTATTAACCAATATTTTATGTACCTACTTTAATACCTTTTACCCCTACCTCAAGTATTATCATTGATTATAAATTGATTTTAAGTATTTATAATCAATGTTATTATGTAAAATTTTCAACTTTAAAAATATGGTAAGAATAACAATTAATTTAGTTATTTTTAATAATTTTAAAATCATTAACAACTATAATTTTTATATAAGGATAACTATTCATTTAGTTGGATTAACAACATTGTAAAACTTAATACAATAGTTAAATCAACTAAAATTTATAGTTAATAAATAGTACTCAATTTTATAGTTGAAATAACAATAATTATATAATAATATAGCTGTCACATATATAACTATAAATTATGATTAAATTAATCATAAAAACAGTCAAAATAACTAATTTTTTTTTCCGTGTACGTCTGATCGAACGTTTGGATATCTTAGCCCCCCTCGATCAAGTAACCCACCCCTCCCTACACACTAAAATAATTTCGTTTTATTATTTTCTTTTTTTCAATGTCCAGTACGTGGGTAATATCTTAAGATTTCTCTTCACGATTATCAATAATCGTTTTTATTTTTAACGTCCACCAGTGGTTTTTCAGATTAAAATAATTTCTGGTTTATTTTTAACTAGGGATTTGTGTGGTATGTAAATATTTCGTTTTTTAGTAGAAATTTTAATATGATAACTTTGTAA